AATTCAAAACTACCAACTGTTCCACGGGAGAAAGGTGAGGCTTTCTGTTCCCATAAAGATTTACAGCCTCGGAAACCCCATATAGGGTCACTGTGAGTCGTTACCGACTCCACGGCACATCACCACCACCACCACCACCACCTATGTGGTTTAGAGTTTTGGAGCTCTGGCCCTGAACCTGCTTCGCTTGGTATTCTGTGGTTTTGATAACGGAAAACTTCACTGCACCTCTACCCTATCTGCCATCAAGCCTTGCCTCCCGTCCTTGCTCTTTTTTGAAACTTTTGATGAAGTAGAAAGTTCCTGACAATTACCAGTAAAAGCTCTGTAGGAGGTAAGAGGCCCAAGGAGTTGAACCTGGCATTTGAGGCCACCAGAAGACTATTTGCTGATTTTAGAGGGTCCCATATGGATTGTATGGAGCTCTGGTAGCGTAGTGGTTATGAATCGGGTTGCGAACTGCAAGGTCAGCAGTTCAAAACTACCAGCTGTTCTGCGGGAGAAAGATGAGCCTTTCTGCTCTCGTAAAGATTTACAGCCTCGGAAACCCTGTTCAGGGTTGCTGTGGGTTGGAACTGACGCGACAGCACTTAACAACAACATATGGATTGCACCTCAATGTAAAGAAAATGAAAATCCTTACAACTGAACCAATAAATAAAATCTTGATAAACAGAGAAAAAAATGAAGTTGTTGATGACTTCAGTTTTCTTGGATCTTTAATCCATGCCCAGGGAAGCAGTAGTCAAGAAATCAAATGACATATTACATTAGGCAAAGTATTATAGAAGACTTCTTATTTATTTTTTAACTTTTTGTGTGAAATGGGTGAAGGTTTACAGCCAAGATAATCAGCCTTACATTCAACAAATTATACACTTTGTTTCATCTCATTGATTACAATCCCATCCCTGTAACACTTAGCCTACTTACTCCCATTTACATGTTATATTTCATAAATGAACAAAGCAAAAATGTTGGATAAGAACATACAGAACAAAATATACATTCACTTAAATGCCCAAAGGGCATATTCTGCCAGACAGTCTACTCCTGCAGACATGCAGCCTTTTTCAACCCAAGAGCCTAGAGCCTGTAGCTTCTCTGTCTCTCCATGCCACAGCCTCTGCCACCATCTCTGTTATTGCCGCTTTTCTAGGTAGGGATCTCACACATTACTCATGCTCTCCCTTTGTGATGGTACTGAGATCATCTGTTCCTGAAATGAAAGATCAATTACTCCCCCCTTTTAGTTACACATCTTCTGTAATTACAGTTGTGACAATCACAATTAATCTTACTAATAATCACTAAAAAACCCTACCACTGTCACCTCTTCCCCATCCCTTTTCACCAGATCCACTTGGAAATGAGAAAACTATTCACTGGGGATTCTACCTTACTCC